ATGTATTAATTATAATGGAGAGTACTTTGAAAGTGATCAAGTTGTTTTATAAAAAAATAAACACACAGCTTTGAAAAAAATTCTGGGGTTTTTTGGGTACCCCCTCATATAAGATACACACACACACACACACACACACACACACTTTTTTTAATCGGGGAGGAGATAAAAGGTCTCCTGAGAATGCCAGTTCCAAATTTTCTTGCCTAAGGGAAGACCGTTTTGGTGGGTGAATAATAAGCATGCTTATTAAATCCATTATGTCATTATCTTCTATACCTTCTTGTTCATTTTTAGATTCCCAGAAGTTGCATATGAGTTCCAGTGGGGAGAATTGGCATCTTGGAAAGCAAAGACGGTTGTGATGCAGTTTTTTGATATAAGGATCACAGGTTAATAATAAAAACTTATTCTTCTACCCTACCATTTTCACTTTTAGCTTGAAAGATAATTTGTACCTATAATGCAGCATTGATTTTTGTCATCAAATCTGGAAGAAAACAATGCATAGTCTATTAGAGAGGAGAGCATTCTGAAGGTCTGATTTGGTTTGGTTTCTCATAAGAGGCTGATTTTAGTTATAATCTCTTAGATTGAGGTACGTATTCTCCCTCACTTCTTTCTGACCTAGGGCTTTTGAATGTGAAACTGCACTTAGTAAACCCTAGTAACTTGGCCATGGAATGGGCAGACATCGGAAAGGTGACATCACCATGATAATGGTAGCTCTACAGAGGGAAATTTTAAAAGTGGCATGTGCCGGTCAAAATGTCTTGACCAAATAGGCAAAGTGCACCTGCATCTGCGGTGCTGTCCTCCTAGGAGCCAGAGAGAAAAGTGTGCTTCAGACTTCCATGAGGTTTTCGGTATCAAATTCCGTTTGAAGGTAGGTCAGAGTGTGTATGATCATGCCAACGTTTCTGCTTTTCCTCCCAAGGTTCTCTGAATTGCTTGGCCAAGCTTTTTAACATAATCTACAGTATTCTCCTCAAATTGGCGATGTGTGCGCTTGGGGGAGAACCGAGGTTGTTAGGGGGATTTTACTCATAAAAGGGGCATTTATAATGAATTTGGCTCTCAAGACGGTGCCTTTTTAAAACCATCCTGTGGAAATAAGTGTGTATTCAGCCGGACTCCGCTGGCACTGCTTATGCATTTTCGGTGGGTCTCTCTTTGCCCTCCCCCGGTCCTCGAATGCATACTCTGAGCAGTGAGGGCGGGCCTCTCGGGGGTAGATCACTCCCTGGTAAAACAAGAGTCTCCTGAGATGCCCAGGAAATAGTCCTAAAATGTTTTGTCATTGGTTTGTTGATGAGGATGTATAGTGTGGATTGGTTGACTCATAGGGACCCAGTACAGTGAGATACTGTGCAACTAACCGCAAGGTTGGCGCTTCGAGCTGACCGGTGATCCCGTGGGAGAAAACCGTGGGGGGGTGTGGGGG